CCGTAAATTGAATTCCTTCGGATTGTATTCATTGTGAGATCTGAGTCTAGCCAAAACCGGAACTACAGGTTGGCTCGGCGCAGAAATGTTCGACAAACCTGCATTACCACCCGAACGATTCCTTTGCTGACCGGCTCGGTTGCCGCCAGCTTTGCCCCCAGACTTAACAGACGAATTAGTACCATTCCATGAGTTACTGTCCCGATTTCCAGAATGCATTGGTGGGGCAGCTGGTTTTACTTTAGGCGCAGGCGGTTTCGGCTTTGCAGGCTGGCTAGCAATGGCTGCCCAAGATTTTGGCTTGGGTGGCCCACTGCTAGTCAGAACTGGAGTGTTCACTTCTCCATTTTGAATCGCATCACCATTCACGTTCGGCTCATCAGCTTGCAAATTTAATCCCGCAAGAGAATGTTCAACTCCCTTTTGCTCAACGACTTCTTGTCCGTTGCTTTCATGCACGGCTGCAGGAGGTTGTTGGTAAAAGTCCCCCAAAATTGATCCGGACGACGTTTGAGGCTGTCCTCCCCAGGATAAATCAGTTGTATTTCCAGGGAAAAACAAAGCTTGCTGATTCAAATAGGCAATGTTACTAGGCAGGCCTGCGTTCGGCATGTGATCCAGGCCGTTCAAATAACCAGCACCGGCCACCGCCGGATTTTGCTGCAGCATCTGATCCGGCATTGCCGAGAACGCACCGTTTGTGTTTGGAAACAGAGAAGCGCTATTGGTCGACCAAGTGTCAGCAATTCCAGTACTCATGTACGGAAACGGCATCGCCGGCAACCCAGAGTTCACGGTTGACGGTGCATAAAACGCTGGTAAGTAAGTTTCCGAGGCTGTAATGTTAGGTTGTTGTCCAACATGATTCGCAATGTTCTGGCATTTAAATGTGAAAATATCATCAAACACCCCATTTCAATTAAAATTTCAGCACCAAAATTAAACAGCATCACCAAACAAATCGCCAGGAAGGTATTAAAAAAGCAAAATAGCAGAAAAAAACATTAGAATTGACTAAGAGAGACGATACAATATTTATGCAAGGAAGCATTTTTCTAGGGGGGGTTTATGCAATATGGTACTCGGAATAAAAAATATATATATGTTAATTCGAACCTGTTCGGGGTTCCTTCGCAAATATTGCTCAAAATCTTCGTCGGTAACAATCCTCGATTCAGACTCTTGCCCTATAAAGATAAAACGCCGTTTTTATAACAAATTGTGCGGCTTCCTCTACGCCGTAGGTATAATGGTTTATATTACTTGTACATTGTTTGTCTGCGAAGCGTCATCGGTTCGAGCATTTAAACACTTCAAAATATCGCATTTTCCGAAGTTTTAAACACATATAAAGTACGAAATTTCATTCCTACCTTTCCCAGGGCTGTCTTTGAGACGCTACAAGGTAGAAAAAGCGAAATAACAGCATAAGAAAAGAGTATTATCAGCCAAAAGTGTCGTTTCATACGGCATTTTGTAGCCGGTTCTCAACCAAGCGAAAAAAATTGAGGAAATTTGGTCGTTACCTGATCGACGTGAGTGGACATTACAGGCATCCAGATAGCTTTAAAACTTAGATGAATATTTCAGTTGTGTTTGGATGCAAACTCGACAAGTGTTATAGGTTTTAGGAGTGCTTTTTGAACGAAAGTAACACAAATGAATCACTTCTTTCACCGCCCGACTTCCATGTGTGTTTTCGCTTGAAGATTGCGTGCGAGTATTCCGGCCCGAACGTGACGTCATCGATGAGGTGTCAATCATACATTCGCAGGTATGCCATAGTAGCCGCGATGTGATTGGATGAAGGGATTGAAATATTGTCCAATCGTTCTGGTCGTAATAATGAAGCCAATAGGTGAATATTGAAGCTTTCTGATTGGTTTAGAGTAACATTGCTGGATTTGTGAAGCCTTGTGATTGGTCAGATCCCATTCCGTGGTCAAATTTTTAATTTTGAAGGGAAAAATAGGCAACTCTGTGGTGACCATATAGGCCCATATATGGTGGTCATTTCAGAAATGCTGACAGAAGCAAGAAAATTCGACAGCAATATAAACATCGCTGAATTCGAACTGAGTTAGATTAATTAATTACAAATTTATATAACTACGGTATACATACTAATAAATGTATACAAATTTCCACTCGATAATTTCCAGCTACAATACCCTTCAACTATTATTCAATCGGGTGAGATGCCAACAAAATCTTGATATTTACCCTTAGTCTATAAATGGCAGTACCCTAGTATATATACATGAACTTGTGGTTAGAGTTGGTTAGAGCCATTGAACTATAAATAAACTGGAAGGCTAACTGCTATGATGAAGGCCTATGATTTGATGAAGCCAAAATAGTTTTTCTGAGTTATGAGCAGAAGTACTTGATCCCAAACGTCGGGCTATATATCAAATTGAAGCTATTGAAAATTGCTATTCGGTGTGGAAATTTCAAGACTTCAGCGAAAAGAAAAATATTTAAGAAATACAAAAACAACTGCAAAACGGCAAATTATCGGTAATTATGTTTGTAGTTTTCCAATATTTCCCTTTTAGCTAAAGTCTTGAAATTTCTACACCAAATAGCGTTTTTTAATAGCTTCAATTTGATATATAGCCCACGTTCAGTGTTGAGTATTTCTGCTCATAGCTCAGAAAAACTAAAATGCACTGGCTTCAATTCCCCCCCCCCCTGAGTTAGCCTTCCAGTTTATTTATAGTTCAATGGCTGAGCCCCCTTTATTTTGGCACGTTGCATAATCTTAACAACGTCAAAAACACACACAAAAAAATATCAGTAAACGAGAATGTTCTTTAGAATTGCATCTCGTTTTCACTCATCATTTAACACAATAATGATTTTTGTAATCTTTATATCGCCATTTTTGTAATCTTTATCTCATTTAGTACCACTAAATTGTAAATTTCGACATACTAAAACGCTGTTTTCTGACCATCAGAATTCTGTCAAATCTTCCCCAAAGTCCAGGAAATGGCATTTCAGAGACTCTAAATTAAAAAATTTCCTCGGGCCTTCGGC